ATATATACTGGTAGAGAATACTGTGAGCCAAGGGAGAACAAATGAACCAAGCAGAGCTGAAGAACAGAGGGGATAGGGAGAGCAACGTAACCACCCACAAGCAAAGCCTTGCCAATGGAGCCACGTATCAGAGAGGAGACGAGCGGTGATCTTACCTTTAGAGAAAAATCGCGAGAAAGAGGAGAGAGGGATATGTGCAACGATAAATCAAAAGTGGAAAAAAGGCGTATTTCTGCTGTAAATAGCAAATGGCAACGACTTTGATGACTACTCGAACGAAAACAACGAGAAAGTGAATTGGCAAAGTGCGGACAACAAGGCAATTCCACATGTTCCTAAGCAAGCTACAGACACACCACTTACAATAGAAAAAGACTAACACTTTGGAGAGCAGAAAAACACAAAAATGTCTCTCAATTCATAAAATTAGCAAAGTGAAAATTCAAACAGCCTAATACACATAAAAACAAGTCTCTTAGGGTCTGTTTGGGGCAGCTGCAGCTTATTCAGATAAACTGTTGATCCAGATAAGCTGTTGATGAGCAGCTGATCCGGATAAGCTGACTGGTTATTTCATTTGTGTGTTTGGAAAATAACTAATTTGCAGTTGTTTCTGAATAAATGATCATTATATCCCTATGCAGTTAAGGTATTTGCAACAGAACTATCATAACAATATGTTAGCATCACATGAAATCAAACAAGCATACACAATAATGATAAATCAATCAGGAGAATCGTGATCATTATTTGCACTAAAATAAAAAACCAACTGAGGCATAATCTGAAATCAAGCCAAATAACCTTTTTATTTATGCTAAAATAGAAAAACAACTATATGAATTTAATAATCTGAAATCAAGGTTTCCTTCCTCACTGGTTGCGGGTAAGAGCAAACAGGAGAAGGAAGAGACTTTAAGGTCTCGGCATTTGTGAAAACATTATTGCCTTCTCGCTTCACTTACATAGCGAATGCATCGCACAGGTTTGGTCATGAAGGTGATGGCTTCAACGAAACCGAGAGAGCAAGAGAGGGAGATCGGAAGGAGGAGGTAAGGGAGAGGAGAGATGTGATGCCCTAGCCTGCGCCGATCCTCGAATGCAGCCAAGCGAAGAATCCTCGAACGCAGTCCAGCGAAGGAGAAGGGGCACAGGAGGAATTGACCTCCAATGCAGATGGGTAGACGTGAATAACAAGGTCGATCCCGCAGTCCGCGTCTAATATGAACGTAAAATGGAGTCCCCAAACACGTTGAACAAACGCGTGAATCAAACACCGGGTCAGCATTTTCAAATGCCAAACGCAATTTTAAGTTGCGCTAAATGGACCCTTAATAGGAAATACCAAAATAAAAACTAGAGAAATTGGTAAGAACCAAAAAGAAATGAAGCAAATGAAGGAAACTTGTTGAGAACAAAGTAAGAAAAGAAAAAAAAGTAAAAAAAAATATCCAGGTAAAGCTGAGACGCCTGCAATCGTGGTATTATTGTGATCCCACGTTCCGTGAGATTTCGTGATACCGTCGGAGGTGGTAACGACAGTCATGTATCATTCTCCCTAGACAAAAGAGGCTTTTCATCCATCACTGAAAACACCTAGCTCCTACAACCTGATGTTATTTCTCAAAAAACATATGTAAAAATGTCCACAGTGGCGATTCACCGCTCCTATCTGACAATCTGTTCATGAATGTGTCATTGAACTGAATTGAAATTTAGTGTCCATTTTAATCCATAAGGCCTTCTAGAAATAGCTCTATATGAGATGAAGAGATGTTGAGTCGCTCTCTATGGGGGCCACCCTATTTGGTATCGGTCTCTTAAATGCATCGACTTCTTGGGCAAATCAATGCTAGTCCTTTTGGTGTTTCTCTCAAGATATACAAGACAATAGTTCTTGTGACCACATCCATAAACACCTTAGACTCCTTCCAATGCAAGAGTATAATGTTATTCTCATCTTTGGTGAAAGAATTAGTGTTCTTGTAGCCATCATGATATGTGCAACGATCATACTGTCACAAAAGAACTAATAGAATATGACATGCATCCATAAGTATCGCGTCACACCACACTTTCTTTGAAGCTTATCTCGAATAGAAAACTCCACGAGGCACCTCATGTCAACACTAATCTTACTCTCATTTTTTTTCAACCAGGTCAGAGAATATATCCAGGAATGTTTCTTAGTAAGACTCAATTTATCCACCATGTAAATGCTACATTTTCAAAACTATCTCAATCTATAATGAGATTGCATATCTTCCCCTGCACGATACAACGGGTACGAAAAATATTTGGAGTCATTGTTGCTCTCTTATAGGCTCAGTTTGAAGGACCCGTAGCATCTGTTTCTCATTTAAGGGTAATTGGTACTTCACTCTATTCTCCTTCGATGGGTCCTCACTCTTTGCTTCCACCAATACACCATGCTCAAGGAAAGATGTCACCCTTCTGTTTAGGCAATCAGTTGCAATGTTCCCAAAATCATGACACTTAAAGCAATTCATGGCTAAGATGGATTTAGGAGTACTAGAGATTTCCACTTTGTCTCTTCTATGAATTGATTTTTCCTCTAGCAGGGTAGGTTGGGATGCTCCACTGCGAACTCCTGCAGCATAATCCTAGGATTAAACTGTGTTTGAAGGATGGTGTGAACTTGAAACTGCGTTGTTGTCGCTCCTCCTTCAGAGCTCAAGTCTCAACATCATGCAATGTCCAATATGACTATAACTACATCACATTGCTAAAAGACGGTCTCAATCCCTCATTTATCGAGCTATAGTTCTCTCCTCGTGCTCCACTAGCTTACACTTCAACATGAGCTTCAAAAACTCTGTTATGTACTCTTCAACTGAGAGATTTTGTTGTCGTAATTGGTGAAACATCAAAAACAATTCTCATATGTAATTTGTTGGGAGACACTTACGCAGCATCACCTTTTTCCATCTTAGATCAGGTTGTGATTTTGTCTTTTCTCTCACTAGCATAAGCATATCAAAGATTTCTGCCGCAAAGAAGCACTCTTCTTTAACTTGATGATAGCTAGCCTTACACTTCTATCAGTTGAAATATCCTTGAATTTAAAGACTCATCCATTGCTTGGAGCCACTCTATAAATTCATCTAAATCTATGTGATCATCAAAATGTGACAAATCAATCTTCACTCCAAAATCTTGGATTCTCCTTGTAATGGGTTCTTCAATGAAAAATTACCTAATTGAAAGAATTCACTTCATCCACTTGAGCAGGCGAGTCAACTTTGTAGCTATAGGTGATCTTACCATATTGTTTCCTCTCAAAGGAGGCAATTTTCTATTATAATTTGAGGATTTTCCGCTGCATGTCCTCTGTAGTGAGCTTTCGAACACCTCGTTGTAGTTTTCTCCTTAGCAACATGAAGTCTCGTTCTTCCAATGAAAATTTTGATAGAAAAGAAAGACAAGATTTAGGGTCAAGATTAGGGCTAGGTTGATAATGTGGAAAGAAAAAAAATTGAGTATTAGTTTAGGTTGTAAGGATTCATAGTTTAGGTGTAGGAAGAACAAGTCTCTAAACTTTTAGGATTTGTCGGGTTTTGATATTATATGACACCATTCTAGGGCTCCTAGAAAGTGTAAAAGCATCAAAAGACATTGCAGAAGTTGTAGGATTGATTATGTGAATAAAAGAATGGATGGCAACTGATAATCGGCATGACCAGCGATGGGACAATAAATTGAAAGTGAAAAGGGGGAAGATTCCTAATGTAAATAGTAGATGGCGATGACTTTGATGGTTGCTTGCTTAAAATAGCGAGCAAAGGGCGAATCAACAAAGTGCAGACGGCAAGGGGGTTTTGCCACCTATTCTTGGGCAAGTTGTAGATACACCACATATAATAAAAATTAGGCTACAACACTCCAAAGAGCATAAAATTAGAAAAATGTCTCACAATTCATAAAATCAGCAAATTGAAATCCAAGTAGCCCAATACACATATATAAAGGTTCCATAATATAAATTATTAATTAGAAACTAGATAAATAAGTAAAACTAAAAAGAAAGGTAGTAAAAGAAGAAAACTAGCACGAAATAAAGGAAAAAAATAAAAAATATATTTGTAAAGTTGAGGCTCCCACGATCCCGTGTTTTGCTGGATTCCACGATACGACGGACGTGATAATGATGCTCCCACATCAATAACAATATAAAATTTATAATAATATATATTTTAATCATTCAATTACATAAATCAATGCCATGGTAATTTTTTTACTAAACAACTACAACTCTTAACACATTTTAGACATTAATATTGCCAAATGGTTAACCACTTTATTCACAGAACTAGCATAGTATAGCTAAGTATAGCATGATACAAGGCAAAATGGCATCGCAATAATAATAAAAAAACTAAGTGATAAGCCTCATTTTGCTCAATTGATGGCCTACAGTTATAGCACCTCAAGCATTAGGCAACCATATATGATGTTTATGAAGACATTTCATGCTCTTGATAGATAGTTTAACATTAGACCTTAAACTTTCTCAACTTGAAAATTTTGGATGAGTTGTTATATGTACTATTGACAAAAAACTTTGTTTTATTCCAATGACAAAAAAGAAAATTTTAGTCCTAACAACAAATTCGGTAACCATTGTTTTTGGCATGGTCACTAAAATAATGAATTTAATTATTGTTTCTTTGAATTTGATTACTAAAATAATGAATTGAATTACTCAAAGTCTTAATAATGTGTAATCAAATCCATTATTTTAATAACTACATTCAAAGCAACAAATAATCAAACCCATCTAGTAAATATATTAATATTTTTACTTGAAATATTTGTGACTTAAAATATTGTGGTAGCCATAAGATCTTAGGAAAAGTTCCATTAAATTGTTAGATTGGGCAATTACCAATAAAACAAGTGTTTGGATCTACTTAAAGAATAGAAATTAGCTGAAAATGAATAAAAAATTAACTCAATCAGGAAAATAAACTTGAACTTACCAACATGGTCCAAAGTAGAAGCCATTTTTGCCCTCTCCCATGTCCTCTGTGACAGAAATGTATGGTGAGCTCAACTGATTATGCAAAATACCAGGCAAAGCATGCTACTTGGAACTGACAATTTATGGGTCTGTTTGGGGCAACTACAGCTCTTTGAAGAAACAACTGTGAAACTACGATTAAAAAATTGTGGTAGCTATTATAAAAAAAATTTTTTTTTTTAAGTTCAGACCACAGCTTTCTAGCAATCGCTGTGCGTAGTCAAGTTTGGTAGGAAAACACAGCTTTCAATTGCAACTTTTGAAAATGCAGGCAAAACTCAATTTGGCCAAACAGGAAAAAATACGGTGTGGCATCGCACCGCCACCTGAAACGCACCCTATATCTTATTTTTCCAATCCCAACTGATATTAATAGTACTGTACCACATGCACGCAGCATTTCAAACAACAAAATGTTACTCTCTCCCACCAGAAAAAAATATTCCGTCGGGACAACAAACCAAGGGGCGGCCGCGTCGCCCGCCGATGATGTGTATGACGATATAGCAGCCAGTGATTGGTCATCCGGACGGAATACTTTCTCCTCCCACAAAGCTGTTTTGTTGCTATAGCTACAAGGCTTTCCCCTCTCCTAGTTAATTGGTGCTTACGAGCCCTCTGTTGCAGGCACTGGTTATTTCACCTTCCTATTCGTATGACAGAATATATTCCTATACCCTGCCCCTTATCAACATCTATCAACTAGAAGAAATCAGCATTTCCTCCAAAATCACAGTTTTAGGGTTCGGAACAGACCTACCGTCATTAATTTCAATTACATCTAAGGAAGCAGTAAGATCAAATGCCTTTCTCCACTCGAAGACACCTAACATTAACTAATCAACACTAACGTTTCACAGTAATTCAAAAAGGCGAAGAGTGTGGAGCAGCAAATTCAAACCTGGATCATCGGCTTTCCAAGGATGTGAACAAGGGGCTTGCCCTGGAATCTCGATGAAGCGAACCTAGCCGGAATGATTCCGACTACTCGGCTACGGTAACCGCCCCGCCGTATTAGCCGACGGAAAAAGACTCCATGAGCGACAACCGCTGCAGCGACCGCCGCTCCGATGAGAAGGCTGTGCACGATCCACGCCTTCCCGGTAGAACTAGAAGGTCCGGATCCCGACGAGCACACTGTCATTGCCGTAGACTTCTAAAGCCCTTCCGGGTGCAATGAGCAAGGGGGTTTGCGATAGTTGGTCGATTATGGGCCCGTTACACAGTTACAGGGGCAGAGGGGTTATGCGGGACCTCTTTGTAAATTAACTGTAACATATAAATAGATTTCGATTTTTTGTAGTTTCATAATTATAAATAATTTATATCGAGGTTATAAGGGAGTTATACGAAGGTTACATAGAGGTATAACCCAGATATAACTCTCTTGTACCCCCTGAATAACCCCTCACTTAAGCAGCGCAGGTACGTCTTATGTACGCAAATATTTTCCCTGTTGGGGACTTTTTTCATCTTTATCTATTTCGGTTGGCAGCTTATACTTTTTCAAAACTCAGAAAACACTGTTTTCACATCACATCTATCTAGGTGCGGTGACAGCTTATTGGAAACGATCTGACTTTTTGAAAAAAATAAAAATTTATAATAGTCATCGAACCTCGCTTATCAGCAGATTATTTTTAATAAGTTTATCAATAAGCTATAGCTGACTCAAGCAGACTCAATGTCGTTTGTAAATGTTTTTTTAAGCAAATGATACTTATTTTAGAGTAAAATTTATTGATGTAGTAATTGAAACGGCAATAAAAAAACTTATGAGCTCACATAATTTTATTTTGAAGTGTTTTAAAAGTTATACACATTATTTTAAGATCATTTATGCTTTTTTTAATGTTTAATATCAATAAATTTAAAATATTAGGATTTGCTTATGACAAATTGTAATACTACTTTTTCACTCGTTGGACAGATTAGTATTTATGGAAATTGAGTTTGATTGAGCCATCCTCATCTCAGATTGACTCAAATGTTCAACTGAATCATGACTCAAAATCTTCTTTGTTCTTTTAAAAATTAATGTTCGATTAATATCAAATATCATGTGTAGGTCTGTCAAAAAAAATTTGTTGTTCGCGAATTTATTCGTTAAATAAGTGAGCCAAGCACAAACAAATTTTTTAGCTAGATTTAAGAAGTGGTTTGATTGCTGGCTTGAAAAAAATAAATAAATAAATAATAAAATTATAAAAGTTAAATTAATGATATATTAGATATAAATATAAACATAATATTTAGATTTCCGCTATATAAATACATAAAAATTGGGTGCTATGCATGCCAATATTTCCCCTCATATCTAAAAAAAAAAATAGATGATAGATATATAAATACATAAGAATTGGGTGGTATTCATATAAATACAGTAAAAAATTATCTCTGGTGGGATGATCTCCTCTTTATTTGATCACCCTCTTTGTTTTATCCCACATTGGGATATTGAAGAATTTTTTAAGAACTATTATAAATTTAAAAATGATAGGAAATAAAAGTAATTTTCAAATTAACATTTATTTATATAATATAAATGTTAAGTTGAAAATTACTTTTATATATATCATAAATATATATCATAAATATATACGGTTCCCCAACACTACGGGTCCTTTTGGGACATCTTATTTGGTGCAGCGGCGTTTTGAAAACGTATTGGCCTGTTTGGGTAAACTGTGTTTTGGCAGCTTATGCGTTTTCAAAACGTCAAAAATTGACAACATTCTGACAGTAGCAGTCTGACTTTTTTGAAAAAAATAAAAATTTGTAATAGAGCAAATTATTCAATAAATTGTAGCTGTAACAAACAAACCCTACGTCACCGGATAAGTTAACTAGTGCTTTAAGTTACTGCTGCCACAGATTGCATTTAGGTCGCCTGTCGATGGACCGTGACTTCTCCACCTGATCATTTTTGCTCGTCTTCTTCCATCAGAACTTCGGAACGAGGCATGGCAGAAGGAACAGTGCTGCTTCGTAACTCTTTCTTCTACTGAGGTTTCAAAGCCTTCTCCTATTTACATTTCTGAACTCTGGTTTTTCGGGTTGTCGATGGCTTCCGGCGGTTCTTCGAGGCGCCCGATGTCATCGGAGTCTAGATCCTTTGAGTTCGGCTCCGATGAACTCTTGTTTTCATATGACGACTACACCTCGCATAAGGATCAGTCGGCGAACGCAAAGCGATCGGAGTCCACGGCGAAGGTAACCATTACTTTTTTTTTTTTCGATCGAGTGATTTTTGTCTGACTTGTTGTTGTTCATTTGGTTTTGGATATGATACGATGTAGTGTTTTGTTAAGATTTTTGTAGAAGAAAACAAAGGAGTTTGCATATTTGGAACGGTGATTGGCTTAGCCGCTCCTTGGTTATTTGCAGCGCAACATAATTTATTCTTAATTGTTTTTTTTTATTTTTTTTGTTTATGCGTTAAGCGTCAGTCTGCCTTGAGAGAGAACCGTGTCTTTTTATTGCTTTTTCTTCCTTACAGCCGTTGTGTTTTGTTCCTTATGGTTTAAAAGTACTTATCTTGAAAATTTTGTGCTGATTATTCTGTTTGATTGTATGAGCTTTAGTGGATCACCCAAAACTCGGAGGATTCCTTAAAATTTGGTCTTACAACTTCAAGCTGTTACTTTGATTTTTAATCTACCTTATCATACATATGTTAGGGTGCTTACCATGTAAAAATCAAAATTTTCGCGTGAGATAAGTAAATGCATAAGAATTGGATGCTATGTATGTAAATTTTCCTTTTTTTTTTTGGCTAGAAATAGTTTCGCTTTGTCAAATTATTTTAATATATAAATGGTTTGGTATAAAAAGGAAAACCAAAAAAGAAAAAAAGAATCCGAAGAATGTGTTGACTTACAAGTGGTGTGGTTCCGTTATGTGGCCTTAATTCGCTGAGATACCTCCCATCATTTTTTTTATTAGCCAACCTGAACTCCTTTATACAAATATTTGGTTTTATTGATGGCTGATTTGTTCTAAATTATGCAGGAGCTTCATGAGAACAGAGTTGGGAGGCCATTTGCTACTGTCTATGGACATTCAGAGGATTTTCCAAGAGATGATGTAATATCTGCTGTTGAAATTTGCATGAAAAAACATGCTGACAACCTTATGAGGAATCTTGAGGAAATCATTGGAAGGTTGACTCAGTTGGAGTTATTTTGTTACAAGCTTGAGCGATCAGTGGGTGAATTTCGAACTGACATGATTCATGGTCAAAGTGAAGCAGATATGAAGCTCAAGTCACTTGAGAAGCATGTTCTTGAAGTAAGTCCATGCTTATTCTTCATATTATCATATTTACAGTTGTTTTGTTGATCTCTTCAAATTGGTAGACTGCACACTGTTATTGGATATAAGTTTTTCATAATCAGATAGTTATGATGCAAATGTTTCTTAAGTTCTTACCTTATAAAGCATGCTCTCATTGCTTTCTCTTTGTTAGTGATATGCTTTTAGATATATTTGTTTTTTTTGCTGATCGAAAACTTGGCAACTTCTTTTGATTTACTTAACCACGGTGCATCCGTCTGCTTGAGGCTAAGGTTTAATAGTAAGGGGAATGTTGTTCTATCTACTTATAAATCACTATATCCTTGCCTGCTCCCGTATTGATTTATTCATCCTTTTTGGTCATTGTAGTTACATTATTATTGTTAATTTCAATTTATATCTCTTGGTAAGCGTTCATATGATTACCTTTAATTCCTTTTGAAATTACATGTAAAAAAATTCACATCTTATTGGATAAATTATGTTCGATATTGGGGGCTACTTTTAGCTGAGTGGTGAAGCAAACATTTATACCATTTTTTTGTTATTGTCATGATGCTCAAGGAGTTTCAGTTCATTGTATTGTTTGGCATTTTGAATTTTGTAGCATATGTAATGTGACCTGGTATACTTGACAAGTAACTGTTCAGATATATTCATTGAGAAATTGATTTATGCAAGTAAAATTTTATCATTATTATCTAATAATCTTAACTTTGGAACTACTTCATTAATTTCTTTATTATCAGTTTTTATTTAGAAAGTTGTCTCATTTATGAACATTTTTAGTAGTGCTTGGTTTAGCTTTTTTTTTTTTATGCCTTTGATTTTTGTTGCTTATTTACTAGTGCTTCTTTTAATGGAGGGTTGTGTTTAGATGGAGTTGTCTTCATTTATGATTTTACTTTTATCATGACATCATAATAACAACAACCCAAAATCTATTTTCCATGGAATTTGAGGGCATTTTTATGATACGGTCTTTTTTAGTTATAATTTATAATAACCACTGTCAACACTGGTGAAAGGCTTCAAAGTGCCTGTCTTTTAGGCCCTAGATTAAATTAAGGCATTTGACAATAGTCCCTACAGTCATGATTAACCATGAATATTTAGCTTTACAGTCTTAATTAGGTAAGCTTACCGACAAACTAACTACACATGATAATGATGAACTTTGTGCTTCAGACCCTCCCAAAGCTGACGCATAAACTTTTCTTATTTGATAACTCTTGATCATTAGGAGTGATCATGGTCCTAAATAGTTATGGTTTGTTCAATCTTGCTTCTCTGTTACAATTATTGGGCTATGTGTTATGTCAACCCAATTGCTTGTATTAGAATGGGCCTAAGAGAGTGAGTCACATCTTGAAATATTGAGAAAGGCCAAATGATTGAAATATATTGTCGTGCCTTATAAGCAAGATGGCTCCAAGGATTTGATTGTTGGATTAATTTTCATCTCAAAATACTTTGAAGGCTTTATCCAAATGCATTGCCAAATATTTTCGCAAAGTTTGGTACTAAATTATTGATGTTGGGTCCTCAATGAAAATTTCAGTTGAAATTAGGGATAAAAGAATTATTTTAACGGTTTTTTCCTTCATTTATACGGCAGTCGGGATTAAGGTTGTAAATGAGCCGAGTTGGCTCTAGCTTGATTCTTTGACAAGTTCACTAGTCGAGCTTATTGATCAATGCTCTCGAGCTAAATCCAAGCTCATTTATTGAACGAGCTCGAGATCAATCTTGTTTAGGCTTTAGCTCATTGGCTCGCGAGCTGGCTTGACTAGTCGATCGATGGTTACGTTGATTTCTTCTCTAACAAGTTGCCATGATATTCATTCTTCTCCAGCCATCGATGTCTTCTCTAGTTAGCTTCCATGATAATTTAATTTTTCGGCTCAAGCTTGCAAACCTATTGTCGTCATTGCAAGTCGAGCCCGAGAGTAGCATTCGAGCTCGAGCTTGCATTTCGAAGGACTACTCGAGCTTGAGTTAGGCTTGCCTCGAGCCTTGCTCGACTTGTTTACGCCCCTAGTCGAGATTCTATCCTTGTAAAATATATTTCTCGCATGCGGAGGATTGGGCCAAGAAAAATTATGTATTTTTCTCAATATTTTCCATGTTTATAATTCTATTTATTTTTCAAACGGTTAATATTTTTTTGTGGGAGGAAATGACAGTCATATAGGTTGAAAAGCTACAAAAAATCTCTAGAATACAACATCAACAAGCCTTTGCCCCACTAAGTGAGGTTGGTTACATGAATCATTTTTCTCCATTGTATTCTATTGAGTGTCATATTTTCATTTAATTATAATAAATTAAGATCATTTTCTATACAACATGCCTAAATTTTTTTGGCATACCTGTACCTTTCTTAGCATAAGTCAAATCTAAAGCATCTACTCTTCTAACCGGATCACCAGATGATCGACGTTTAATAGGACCAAGCCACCTAAGACAACTCTCTCTAATCTGGTCTGCCACTAGAGCCACATCAGCCCTTTTACGAATATACTTGTTTTGCATTTTGGCTCTAAGTGTAAAGCCACTCATCCACCTAACCATTTTCATCTCAGCAACACTTAAATTTTTATGCTTCTCTTTTATAGGTCAGCATTTCATGCCTTAAAGTATTGCAAGTCTCACCATCATCTTATATAATTTTCCTTTAAGTCCAAGCGGTACTTTTCTATCACACAATAGGCCCAATGCATTCGTCCACTTCAACCATCCAACTTGAATTCTACTAATAACATTCTCATCTATATCACGTCAATTTAAACAATAAACCCGAGATGTAAAATGTTCATTTCTTTTAATGATTTAATAAATCCATTGTTACAACTACAACACTAGATCTACTACTACTAAAATTACATTCCAAGTATTCAGTTACAGGAAATCTTTAGAATGCTTAAAATATTTTATTTTCTTAAATTTTGGTGGAATTTGCTTTTATTTTTCATAGTTTTTTTTTATTTTATTTTTTTATTTTTCTATTTTCTTAACATTATTTTTTTATGTTCAAGATTTTTTTCAAAATATTAGGAGCATTTCTTGATTTCTAGTTAGCTTGAGTGCATGCATGTGATGTAGCAAAAAATTGGAGGCTAGTTAAAATATTGCTATCCCATTAGTATTTTAGCATCTCCATAATTAAGCAGGCCCTACAAGAAAGAGATCTGCATTTATAGAAGGAGATTGCATACATTGCCTGTCATTTTTGTGCCCAATGTAAAATTTGTAGTGCATATATAGTGCATATAAAGGAAGCAAGGTTATAAAGGAAGCAAGGTTTTTTTTTTTTTCCTTCTTTATTCTCTTTAGCATATCATGCTGCTTGTGTAAAATGCAATTTATTCTTCTGTTTTACTTTTTTTTAAGAATTTTTATACGAATTTTAGCACTTTTCCTCATCTATGTTTACATTTTTATCACATTACTGTACTTCTAGCCGCATTTTTTTTTTCATTCTAACAACATCACTCTCACTAAGCAGTTGTTAGAAACATTTCAGGCTTTCCTACTACACCAAGGAATGTATAAATGATTTACGAATCATTGTCATCACCAAAGTGTCCCCTCCAAGAAAAGAAAGGCATATATGGGTGATACAGAAAAACTTAAATTTGGGCATTGGATACTCACCATATCAAGAAATGAATATATGAGCGTTTTAGAGTTTTTCATAGAGCAAAAGAAGGCAAAATGATATGCATACTTAATCAAGAAAAATGCATATAGTTAGTACTCTTTTTTGGTGGTTCAAAATTTCCTTTGGTTATGTAATGAAATATGAATTTTATTTGAGTTGGAACTAGCCAAATTGGTGAACATAAAAGTTGTGGAATATTGATTTAGCATCTCATATGATTCTGACAATAAATGAGAAAGTTCTACCTAAATTTGTGAGAAGTGGGTTGGAAAAAGTGTTGAATGTTGATTTAGGGGTCTCTCACTTTCCTTGAAAATTGTGTCTCATTGGCTTAAAATATGAGAGCTATGGCTAAATTTATTAGAATGGGTTGGAAATAATCCTGACATTTGGATTTAATTTTTCTTAAATAATTAAAGTACGTAGGGGACTGAGTTTGAATTCTATGGTTATTCAAACTATTTTGATGTGAAATGGAGTTATGCTTCAATTAATGTGAATGGGCAGTAGTCATCGTTGAAATTTAGATTGTGTTTCTCACATTTTTTAAAAATTATTTTTCATTGACTTAGAATTGACTAAAGTGAACTGCAAAGTCACAGAGAATCGTGCAGGAATGTGCCCTAAATTTCAAATGATTTTGAGTAGAAATTAGTGAGAAAAAGGTAAAAATTTGAAAGTCAAATTTCGGGCTTCTCACATTATTTGAAAGTTGTCTTATCAACTCGAGATTGGTCAAAGTGATAACATGAAAATTGGAGGAAATCAAATCATGAATTAACCCTTCAAATTTTTTATGATTCCAACCAAGATTGAGGAAGTTGTGCTTAAATTCAAGGGATCAAGCCCAAATTCCACTGAAATTGGCTCTAGACGTTTGACCAATTGTTAGGAGTTTGATTTTGATGCAATCAGATTTCAACATTTAAGATATATAATATTGAGATATGAATCTAATAATGTAACATGGGATCTGTTTTATATTGTTTCCATGTACGGTGTCCTTCTCACCCTCATTTTCATGTAAATTCTACATATGTTATCTACCAGCTTCATGGCATGTGACTACTTGAATGCGCAAGCGTGCGCTTGTTGTCTTTGACTACAATCTTAACCTTATTGTCAACGAAGTGATGTTTTATACAATTGAAATTTTTGTAGTCAGTTTTATGTAAAATTGTCATTGATTTTTCTCTATTTTATTTTACTTAACCTCTTGGGTGGCCACACACATGCTTGTTGTTGGCTTAATTTCGACATCATTGGCAATGGGATCATGTTTCATGTTTTTGGAATGTTTCAAATCAATTTTACATAAAATTCGTGTTTC